TCATCATCATAATTTTGTGGCTCAAAAGTATCGATTTAGCACCGGTATTGAAATAAACTCATTTAAAGTCTTAATTAGATTAACTAGGCAGGTTAGGGTAATTGGGCAAGTTATTGTATAACGATGGTTTGTTCTGTAGACCATCGAAAAAAATCTTAAAGGGGCTAATAATATTTACCTTAAAATGTTTTTAAAAAAATTAAAAACTGCTTTTATTCTAGCCGAAATTAAACAAATAAGACTTTTCCAGAGGAGAAAATATTATCAGACATACTGTGAAAAATTCCTTGCTCTTTTAAACATAATTTGGGAAATATTTAAAAAAGAAAACTTAACAGTTTAACAATTTAACAGTAAAAACATTGCAAAACCACTAGTAATTCATTCTAAGTTTGCATGACTCAGTCAAATACCAGATTTGTGAATCTTTGCCATGTACGTCGAAGCATTTGCAGTTGTAAGCGTGTGGCTGATATCATAATAGTGCCACAAGAATGATTCATAACTACTTTGTAAACTTACACAACACTTTCTTGATCTGCTTTTGGTAGTTTGTTATCAGATGTGTTAAAAGCAGCCAATTCTGGCTCAAATGCGGGAAAATTGTCACATAATTACTTTAATGTGAGCTATTGGAGGGAACGCGCCACTCTGGCAAATGAACTCTCCATGCCAAAGCAATTTAGCAGACACTATTCAGATTATCTCGGTTTGTTTCAAGAACCAGACATCCCTCAGCTCTTGAGATGCTTCCAGACACTGAATAACTTTAATTATTAATATTTTCGCTGTCTGAGCAGCATTACCACAGGACCCCTGTCTCAACACTTAAAGTTTCATCTAGCAGACCTCATCAAAACAGCATTAGCCTAGTTCATTTCTAATAGCCGAGAATCAATTTCAGTTAGCAGCATTTCCAAAGCCAAACATTGCAAAGTTTATGATTTAAATATATTTTTTTGAGGCTTGACAGATTATTGCAGCGGTGGGCAAACTCTTTAGACCCGAGGGCCACATCAAGTTTTGCAAACCAAGTGAAGGGCCACATGTCAAATTCTTCAAAAAATTACTTTTATTTATAGTGGCAGTATGCATGGAATATGAAACATCGGACAGAAACATGTCACATTAACACTAAACAGATTGTTTTTTTTTTATAATATTAAGTTAAATTTACAAGTCAATTTGCACTGCTATTTATATTTACTTATCAATCATAAAACTATAAAATAATCCCTTATAAAATATAATAATAATAATAATAATAATAATAATAATAATAATAATAATGTAATAATTTTTTCAGTGGAGAATAGAAAATATATTGTCTAATAAAAAAAATCTCATATTAACACAGTTACTATTCAGTCAAATTTACAATAATCTAATTAGCAATGCTTTTAGAATATACAGATCAATCATCATAAAACTTGATGAAACCACAAATCTTTGAAATAAGAACTTTTTTGTAACGACGGGCGATGGCACTCACAACAGAAGGTAAAATCAAAATGCAGGCTAATTCTTAGTCAGGCAAGCAATGGTCAATACAGGTGCAAACGGGCATGTGCAGGCAAATCCAGAATCATACTCAATATACAGACGAGAGGTCAAAAAGGCAGGCGGCAGGCAGGGAGAACAAGAATACAAGGCTAGGTAGAAACACAGGAAAACTAGACAGGAGTAACGCGTTGTAATGTCATCTAAAGATAAACAAGACTCTAAAGTGAAAGGGTGAATTAGTGGCTAATGTAGTGAATGTAATCAGTCTCTGACAAGGCTCAGGTGGTGAGAATGTAATCAGTCTAGATGAGTGAGCATGTGTGAGTGTGACCGGAGAGCATGTGTGAATATGTAGTCCAGGAGAAGGCGGAAGTGTAGTCCATGGTTTGTTGTGTGACATTTTTTAAGTGGATGTATGCATGGAAAATATATTCTATGACAAAAATTAACACATTTAACCAGCAATTATTATATAATTTGAGTCAAATGTACAACAATCTCACTTGAGCTTTTAGCGGCAAATCCAGATTTCACTATTTCCAGATGCGAAAAGCTCTCGGGTAAAAAGTGTTCCTTACAAACATATTTCGGTCCCACTTTATATTAAGTGTCTTTAACTACTATGCACTTGCATCAAAAAATAAATACAATGTACTTACTGTGTTTATATTGTATTTGAGAGCACTTGTGGTGATAGAGGTTGGGCTATGGACAGGTTTGGTGGCATGGGTAGGTTTAAGGGTGGGTTAAGGTGTAAGAGATGGTCAACAGTGTATTTACAAATGTAATTACAGAAGTTAATTACAGATGTAATTACATACAGGTATTTAATCAAGTGTAAGTACACAATAAATACATGTATTTACACAATAAGTACTCTATAACAAACTATTACTTCCTGTGTAAGTACTTATTAGTTAAGGCCACTTAATATAAAGTGGGACCCATGTTTCTGTTGCTTGCTCTGTAGTCCTTACGTAAGTCCAGCGGCACTCTCATAGCGAGAAATGAAAACAAAACCTTAATTGCAGCACATTTTTAAGCAAAACGCTGACGACCCATGTCTCCCAACAATTCTTCCACTTGTTTAGGCAACACAACGTGGCGTCTCTCTGCTGTCTGAACATTGTAACATGTAAAACAGTCTTGGAAGCTATCATGCATATTAATGAAGTTGCACCTCATACACAATAGAGCGCGCTAATTGGTTTGAACCAAGTCTTTCTCATGAATTAATGCTGCACACTCAGAGACGACACAATGTACTCACTGATACAGATATCCACGCTGGAATACACACAAGGATCTAACCTCCGTGACGCAGCTTCGAAAATTCGTTTCAAATCGGAAAAACGAATTTGCTCGAAATAACGCAAAAACAACAACTTTTGACTTTTTTTTGTGAAATATATGTGTCCCAATAGTGTTTATAGCAGCATGGGACACATCTACGGCTGTCAACATCTCAAAACATGTGTTTTGTGACCCTTTGAGCATTATATTTTCAACCAAATATGGCAAGCCATTTTTACATACAGTCCAAGTCCAGTTTTTGACTGTCATAGAGACATCGGGGTTGATTTAGGACTTTCACACATGTGAATTGATTCATTTCTTCCGAAACAGGGATTAAAATTGTTACATTGTTGCTCTTTGCTCTTGGTACCGTTCGCTTTCACACGGCAAATTTTCTAAACGGACCAAAAGAGCTAAAACAAGTCACGTGCGAGTAAACTCTCCTCACATTGGTTAGAGTTTCACGGTTTATTTTGCCGTGAGTCCCTCTCAGCTGTCAGGGGGATGGTAGTGGTTTGGTGGTGTTTGACAGGCTGCGCGACGTGTCTAAAGAGCGAGGATGGATGCAGTGAGGAGGGATGAGAAGGGTGCGCAACGTATTTGAGGACCCTGAAGGTAGATGTGCGATTTCCGGGAAATTATAACTCGTTTGCGGGCATCCGGGAGTCTCTGTGCATTTGCAGGAGACTAACGAAACTTCCGGGAGACTTGGGATGTCTGGACTGACCTCCCGGCCTACTCATAATTCTCTCTTCATATAGCCCAGGGGTGGCCAACCCTGTTCCTGGAGAGCCACCTTCCTGCAGATTCCAGTTCACCTGAACCAATTAAATAGGACCTGAACACCACGTGATAATTACATTCAGGTGTGTTTGATATGGGTTAAAACTGAAATCTGCAGGAAGTTGGCTCTTCAGGAACTGGGTTGGCCACCTCTGATATAGCCGTATGCCTATTACATATCCATAATACACTGTGATATAACGGGCTTGGACCGTATTGCGTTCTCACTACAATCGATCCGCTCCAGAGTTCGTTTCAAATCGAGCCGAGACCACCTCATTCAAGCGATTTTGGAGCGATTGTTTGGGCGCGGATCCAAGCGCGATTGCTGGATTCATATATGCCAAACAAACCTCGCTAACTGGGCAAATGAGACAAGTTCCGAAACAAATGTCTAGGTGTGAAAGCACCCTTATATCACTCATATTGACAAGAAGCTTTGATGTATCTAAGTTGTCAATTGCCCCCATAGCAATAAAACAGGCTAACCTAGCAACCAATTAAAAAACAGCAATATCTCTACATAAGAACATCATAGGGACCTGAGTATTGGCTCGTTTGACTCATGCTAGCAAATGGGACTATGCATGTAAGCATAATAGCATGTGCTAGAAATACCTATTAAGTGTTAGCATTTGATTGAACATGTACACGAGCGTTGTCATTTAGCAACTGCTTAGCAACCATCTAGCAATGCTATAAACATTTTAGCAACTGCCTAGCACTGCTATGCTTCCTGCCAACTGCCGTTGCCAGTCCTAGCGCAGTCACGTTGGCTTTCTCAAGCCAACATCAAAATTCTTGAACTTTAGGTTGTAGTTAAAATTAAGAAGAAAGAACTTGAGCCGCATCTAGAAACTTTGTCTGAATGAACGCCCTCAAAACCACATATAAACACTCTGGCAGTCAAACAGTAGAGCCTAGCATTGTGGAAACGGGTATTGCATGGACATGCATCACTTATATTGCCTTCAAAAAATGTTCATGACCCGAAACTGTTTACTAGGGTGGTCCTTAGTGTATACCAACAGATGCTGGTCCTTACAGACTATTTTTGCAATGTGTATTCTGCGGAATCACAGAGATGTAAGCAATGTAGCCAGAATAGTTTTCCATCTGTTGCTCACTGCTGGTCTATGCAGAGGTGTTGACCTTGCGCCAAATTTAGTGTTGCTTTTAGCCACATTTCAGATTCTTGACCTCTGGTTCATGTTGGGTGATTCGTCAACACTAATGAGAACACATTTACAACAAATAAACTTTTAAAATAGCCCAATAAATCCAACAAGCTTCTTTAAAATGCATGAATTTCGGGATGGATTTTAATATATGTAATTCTAGTTCTCCTAATAACAGTCTATGTTAGCACTATAAAGCAAATTCAATTCTGGAATGAAAGTAAGAACAAACCAACTTACCGCAAGGGCTTGGAGCCTTTCCTTGTGAAGTTCAGCTTCAGCCATCCTGGAAAAACAAAGGCAGAATTCTCAGTAACCGTGAGATTGGTAATCCCAAGTGTGGTTGCGTGTGTTGGGCAGTAGGTGAGCTAGTTATCACACACACTATGCCCTGGTCCTCTGAAGTAAGCCAGCCAGTGAAAGACACAGTGTACTGAGAGCAAGATCTTCTCATTCACTGGCCATGTGTTTGCCAGACTCTCTCTCTCTTTTTCTCTCTCCACCTACATCCCTCCCTCTTCGTCACTGGCCGGGTTATGGACAGACGACAGAGTCTTGAACCGCCCCCTGTGTTCAGAGGAGAGCTAGAGGCCAGGAGGAAGAGAGATGTTACTGAGGGCAGGACAAAACTGTCACACCTAACTGTGACTCTCTCTCTTTCTCTTTCTGTGTATGTGTGTGTACAGTATGTGTGTGCGCGCCTGCTGGGGATGGAAAACAAAGGTGTGTCGTACACTGGGGACAAGAGCGGCTGCAAGCTTAGAGGAAATCTGCTCCAAATCAAAATCACACATCTGCCAATTTGGTGCTAGGGTTTAATAATATCTGAAGTTGGGAATAGCTCACACAAATTCTATCGAAAGAACATTTTCTTTCTTTCTTTCTTTCTTTCTTTCTTTCTTTCTTTCTTTCTTTCTTTCTTTCTTTCTTTCTTTCTCTCTTTCTTTCATTCTTTCTTTCGTTCTATCATCTATCTATCTATTCATCCATACATCCATCCATTCATCCATCAAACATTGGAGCAATACGGTAAACATATTAGCATATTTCCAAATGATGAAAAAAGACTATAATATGTTTTCCATGTGCTAAATCATACAATAATCATGCTAGCAATGCTAACATGCTAGAAATAAGCTAGCAACATACTATAACCCTGCTGAAAAATCCAACTTAAACCAGCCTAGGCTGGTTGGCTGGTTTTAGCTGGTTGACCAGCCTGGTTTAAGAGGGGTTTTGGCCATTTCCAGGCTGGTTTCCAGCCATTTCCAGCCTGGTCTTAGCTGGTCAGGCTGGAAAATAAACAGCCAAATCCAGCTAAAACCAGCTTGACCAGCCTGGTTTAAGCTGGACATAGCTGGTTTTGGCTGGACTCCCAGCTTGGCTAGGCTGGTCAAGCTGGTTATAGCTGGTCATCTCCCAGCCTGACCAGCTAAGACCAGGCTGGAAATAGCTGAAACCAGCCTGGAAGTGGCCAAAAACCCCCTAAAACCAGCCTGGTTGACCAGCTAAAACCAGCCAACCAGCCTAGGCTGGTTTAAGCTGGATTTTTCAGCAGGGAACAATCATGGCAAAACACAATAAAACTGCTAGCAACATAATAAAACATGCTAGTTACATGACACATTTCTGAGTGAATGTGTTAATGCCATCAATGCTCATGAACATGCTAGTCATTGTTAGCAATATGCTAAGACATTTACGCAGTCTTAAAACATTTTAACAATGTTGTTAAACCTTTCTGATGCTCAATGCTCATGAACATGCTAATCATTGTTAGCAATATGCTAAGACATTTATGCAGTCTTAAAACATTCTAGCAATGTTGTCAATCATGCAAATCTATCTATCTGACTGTCTGTCCGTCCGTCCGTCCATCCGTCTATCCATCCATCCATCCATCCATCCATCCATCCATCCATCCATCCATCTATCAAACATTGGAGCCATATGGTAAACATATTAGCATCCATCCAGAGAAAAAAAGACTAAAATACGTTTTCAATGTGCTAAAGCATACAATAATCATAGTAGTAATATGCTAGCAACATACTATAACGATCATGGTAAAACACAATAAACATGCTGGTTAAATACTTAAAATGTGCCAACACATGCCATGAATACTCGAAAACGTGATAGCAATGTTTCTAAACAAGTTGGCGACATGATAAAATGGTTTATTCTGGCTGTCTGACGGTCAGTCGGTTGTAAAATTTTAAATGAATCACCTATGAAAGTACTGTCTTGTATGTGTCTTCATGAGCTTATTTATGAACAGTGCAGCTTATCAAAATGTAGGTTCGTTAAAATGCAGTGTGGATTTCATATATGGCCATTAGTCATTATTTTTCCTATATGAAAGTGTACATTTTTTTACATAAATTTTGTAAACACTCTTAGGTCATATATCAGGATATCGTCATATCAAGGTCATATAGACAGGTTGAAAATATGTAAGCTAAACATGGCTAAACATGCTGCCATAATCCTGATTTGCAAAAAAAAAACAAAAAAAAAACATGCTAATGAGTTACAACATTAAACGCTAATAAACATGCCAAAACACGATAATGAACTCCTCATGCCAACAATGTTCTAAAACATGCTAACAACAAAACAGCATGCTAGCAAGACAACTATGAAATTATTCATATCTACCTATTAAGTGAACATGGAAGCAATATGGTAAAGTTGTTAGCAGCATGTGACAGCATGCTATACTGTAAAGTTGCTAGCAGCGTGATAAACATCAAACATCAGCTTGTTCAATGTCAAGTACATGCTAAAAATGTGCTAGTGCTATCAATGCTCATGAATATGCTAGCCAATTTTTAGCAATATGCTAAGACATTTACGCAGTCTTAAAACATTCTAGCAATGTTGTAAAACATGCATATCTATCTATCTATCTATCTATCTATCTATCTATCTATCTATCTATCTATCTATCTATCTATCTATCTATCTATCTATCTATCTATCTATCTATCTATCTATCTATCTATCTATCTATCTGTCCGTCTGTCCGTCTGTCCGTCTGTCTATATATCTATCTAACAGTGGAGCAATATGGTAAACATATTAGCATCCATCCAAATTATGAAAAAAAGACTAAAATATGTTTTCAATGTGCTAAAACATATAGTAAGCATGCTAGCAATGCTATCATGCTAGTAATACTCTAGCAATATATTATAAAGATCATGGTAAAACACAATAACCATGCTAGCATTGTCTATTCCATCACTTACAGAACATGACAAAACCTGATCATTTAACCATCTGCAGAAGTTGCTGACTCTAAACATGTCTACTGTCTCTGTAAGTGTGGCTTTTTTTTGTCTTTTGCAACACAGCCTCCAAAAGTCTGCACTACACATCTTGAGTTCTAATTTATTCCTCCAACCAAGCCAAAGGGAGCAGTAGGGAATGGGAACATGGGGGTCCAGCTGCTTTCCTCGGTCCAAACTCACTGTGCAGGGATACAAAAACTCCTTATATGGAGAAAAGGTTGAGCTAACCGAGTCTGGGCTTTTCTGTGAGTGGAAAACTCATGGGAACAGTATACGAAACTCAGTGAATGAAATTATAACAAAATGAAATGACCCTTCTGTGTGTGTGCTGTACATGTGCTGTTGCTATATATAAGACCAAGCGGCTGGTATGAATTAAACTCAGTTTCCTGAGTTGAAGCAAACATGCAAAGTGAACACAATCTGTACTGCATCGGCTATTGATTTAAACCGGTTATGGTAACAAAAGATGCATAAATGGCAACATATTTTGTCATGCTGTTTATATGTACACTCTCAGAAATAAAGGTACGCGAGCTGTCACTGGGGTGGTACCTGTTCAAAAGGTACACATTTGTACCTAAAAAGGTTCATATTAATACCTCAAGGATACATATTTGTAGGGGAGACCATGTTGAAACACAGGGAGAGTTTCATGAATCAGGCATAAGATAGGGGTCATGTAAAACTAGTTCTATCAGCTCAAACCAGTCTGGCCATTCTCCTCTGACCTCTGGCATCAACAAGGCATTTGCCCTGACAGAACTGCCACTCACTGGATATTTTCTCTTTTGCGGACTGTTCTTTGTAAACCCTGGAGAAGGTTGTGCATGAAAATCCCATTAGATCAACAGTTATTGAAAAACTCTGACCAGCCCATCTGGGACCGATACCATGCCACGTTCAAGGTCACTTATGGCCCGTTTCCACTGAGTGGTACGGTACAGTACGGTTCGGTACGCTTTTATGGCCGTTTCCACTGTCAAAAGGCGTACCGAACCAAACTGTACCGAACCACTTTTTTGGCACCCTTTCGAAAGGGTCCCAAACTGCAGAAAGGGTCCCAAAAGGTGGAGCTACACGCGCAGCTGAACGCTATTGGTTAACAGAGATACGTCATTCATAGACTCAACAAGCCAGAATGTAAACAAAGGATTACAGCGGAATTATATTTACATATGCAGCCATGGTCGATCCGGGCTCAAACAAACCCTGTCGCCGTCTTGATAAACAGCCACAAAGCCATGGAGAAGAGCAGATTTACCCGGTGCGCGTAGTTTTTTTATGAGCCAGTCTGAAGCCCGAGTGGTTTCGCTTTCTTCCTTGCGCTCGCCGCGCGTCTCTATCTGAAATAACAAACTTCTTGAGCTGATAATAACATGCGCTTGATTATTGACAAGCTTTGGAAACGCGATCCTGTGAGAAGCTGACAAACGCGAGTGACACATTCAGAAAGAAAAGGACAAACGCAGGAGTGGAGCACGGAAAAAAGGCGAAGCCAAGGAGCACGTTATTTGTTCAGCAAACGTGAACAAACTGCCTTGTTTTAATTTTTATCATCACCTTTTGGACTGGGAATGATGGAATGACTCTCTAACAGAGGCTACATGTGCTGCTGAAGATTACAGACACAGATGAGAGGTTTTCACTGACTGTAGGCTGTACTTTGTGTTGTTTTGAACCTTATTACGGACGAAATGTCTACTTTGTGTAGTTCTTCTGTAGTATGTAACATATCGGAGACTGTAAGTGGCTGTATGTGTTCATATATGTTCATTTATTTATTTATTTAATATAATTACAGACGTTACAGTAGGCTATTTCACATCGTCATTGATCTGTAGTTATAATAAACTCCTGTTCATAGAAAAGTTAGTAATAAACATTTATACACAAGTATTTATGTGTGTAAAGCATCTGTTTTGTGAAAATGATATGTGAACGACCTGTGTAGCTTTATTGTAGACATTTCCTCGAGCGAAAATGACGTCGACTGAAACTTTGTCATACACCATGCCCACCAAAAGAGGACCCTTGGTAATGGAAACGCAAGCCTGATAAAGGTGACCCGTACCGACCCGAACCGTACCGTACTGTACCAGTCAGTGGAAACG